TTTTTTTTTTTTTTTTTTTTTTTGAGACGGAGTTTCACTCTTGTTACCCAGGCTGGAGTGCAATGGTGCAATCTCGGCTCACCGCAACCTCTGCCTCCTGGGTTCAGGCAATTCTCCTGCCTCAACCTCCTGAGTAGCTGAAATTACAGGCACACGCCACCATGCCCCACTAATGTTTTGTATTTTTAGTAGAGATGGGGTTTCACCTTGTTGACCAGGATGGTCTCGATCTCTTGACCTCGTGATCCACCTGCCTCGGCCTCCCAAAGTGCTGGGATTACAGGCGTGAGCCACCGCGCCTGGCTTGTTTGTTTTTTGGGACAGAGTCTTGCTGTGTTGTCCAGGCTGGAGTGCAGTGGTGTGATGATGGCTCACTGCAGCCGCAACCTCCCAGGCTCAAGCAATCCTCCTACCTCAGTCTCCCAAGTAGCTGGGAACATGGGTGCATGCCTCCACACCTGGCTAATTTAACAATTTTTTATAGAGCTGGAGTCTTACTGTGTGGGCCAGGCAGTTCTCCAGTGCCTGAGTTCAAGCAATTCTCCCACCTTGGCCTTCCAGTGCGGTGAGATTACAGGTGTAAGCCACTGTGCCTGGTCTTCTTTTCGTTTTTTTAAACACCGTTTGTACTTCTTTATTTCAATTATTTATTCTAGTCATTTGTCCCCTTTTCTCTTGGGTGTGGAATTAATTTGATTGCAGGATATTGGCTCTTTGTGTTAATGCAAGTAAATAAGATCTCTGTCATATATGTTACAGATATTTTTTCATACTTTATTTTCTTTGACTTGTCTTATTATTCATTTTGGGGCGTGGACACTTAAATTTTGTTAATGTGGTCTAATTTCACAATCTTTTCTGCCTTCTAGATTTCTTGTATTGCTTATATAGGATTCTGTGAGCCAAGGTTATAAAAATGGCATTTTAGTTATGTGGAAAAAGTGGTTACTGAATGATGGTGGCACAGTTGAATCTCTGTATGGAAGCAAAGACTCTTTTGGTGAATTCTAGATTGGATGAAGACCTAAATATATATTTGAAAAATTGGGTAAAAATTTAGGAGGATATATGTATAACTTTCTGCAGTGCAAGAAACATTTTTTTTTTTTTTTTTTTTGAGATGGAGTCTCCCTCTGTGGCCCAGGCTGGAGTGCAATGGTGCGATCTTGGCTCACTGCAACCTCCACCTCCCGGGTTCAAGCAATTCTCCCACCTTAGCCTCCCAAGTAGCTCAAACTACAGGTGTGTGCCACCATGCTTGGCTAATTTTTGTATTTTTAGTAGAGATGGGGTTTCACCCTGGTGGCCAGGATGGTCTTGAACTCCTGACCTCAACTGAACTGCCTGCCTCAGCCTCCCAAAGTGCTGGGATTACAGGCATGAGCCACCATGCCCGGCCCTGGAAAAAACATTTTTTTTTTTTTTTTTTTTTTTTTGGAGACAGAGTTTCACTCTT